CTCACATGGCTAAACAAATGAACACATTTTCAACTAGTCTATAGAACCACAGAATCATAAGAGTGACTTCTGTCTTGGATTATGAAAACAGTATTACAAGAAGCTGACTTAGTGCAGCAATTGAGAGACAAGGAAAAGTTCCAGAAAGGCTATATTATAGGTAGAAGAGTACTAGAACTGGCTGGGATGCTGCAGTTCTTACAGTGAGCTCCTTAATTTAATGCTGTTAAAAAAGTAACTGAAATGGAACACTTGAGGAAATTGCAGGCAGTTTGTCTCAAAATGAGATTCTGTTTGCCTGTGTTTTGAAGGGGAAGCCATAAATGAAGATGATGGGAGTTCTGCTCCATCTTCTGTAAAGAAGCTCAAAACTCAAACCTCAGGCCAAGAACAAGCTATCTTTAAATAAATTGATTCAGCCTTCTTTAACAAAGGCAACCATAGAATTTAAGGCAGGCATTAAGATGTTTTCATTTATTTTAATGTGTTATTACTCTGAGTAAATCTGTATAGTTTTCCTTTCCCTCTCAAATAATTCTAACTGCATGATAAATAAAATAGGTCCCTGCTATTTGTTGCATCCATTAAGCCAGTGGCTTTAACTATCTCTTGGTGTATTTTTCCCTAATACACATGAGGTTGATCCTACTCATTCCTACACACTTACCACTGAATTTCCAAAGTACCTCATGACAGCTTCTGTCTCTGTCATGCCATGTCAGCATGGTGGTATCATTAAGTTGCATGTGTACTAGACTGTTTTTAAGCTAAAAGTCCTGTCAAGATTCTTTTCCAATAAGGCCATTTTGTGACAGAGTGAAGTAAATGATTTGGAAAATACTAACAATGACTGTCTAGATGATTTATTATGTCTATATCCTGAAACGCCTCCATTTAACTCAAAATATAAAGATGGACTCATTATGATATACTTAATGATTGCATTTTATTGTTACCTGTTAAGTAAAATGGTATCATTGTGTCTGAGTATAGATAAAAAATACAATAACTGAAAAAAATTGTATTCTTTTTAAAAGCCATAGATTAGAGAAGGTTTTTCCCACTAATTCAAAACAACCAGATTTGACACAGAGTAAAAAAAACAACTTTGATTGGGTATAACTTTCAAACCCTGTTATGTAATACAAATATGCTTTATGGTAGTAATAGCAAACACAAACAGGTACACACTAGAGAACTTAACAAAACCACCTTCAATGTATAAATTTGTTACAGTGTTTGGATATTCATATATGAAGACTAGGTTCTGATTTCACCAAAAATATTTTAAGATAATATACAAACAAAACGCTGTTTAAAAAACGTAAGTGCATGGATTATGTAAACTGTATTTTATTAGCCTCTGGAACCATATTACTCTAAATATTTGACTCCAAAAGAGAAATTGCACTGAGTTGCACATGTTAACTGAGTGTGGAATTAAGGTAAATTGTAACTTAATATGTTCACATTCTGTGGCACATGTATAATCTTGAAGGATGTTAATGTATATTGAGGACAAGTCTTTCAACGACTTCAACGGCAGCTGAACATCAACCTGAAAGACTAGTTCTCCTTGTAGAATTCAACAGCAATTATGCAAAATGCTCACCTTTTTATGTGCAGAAACAAAGTATGTTCTGAAGTACAGACACTAAAAACATTTGGGGAGTGTGGTTTGCAACTTTATTTTATTTTTTTTTACACTTGACAGTAGGGGCAAAATGTAGCACAAGACCTGGCTGTTTCCTTCTGCAGTACTAATTATAGTATGTTAAATGGACATTTTGTTATGCCACACTGGGAGTGCAGCTATATAAAGATTGTTGCTTCCTTTCTTTTATATTTAAGATTTCATTGTTTGACAGTTCTCAGTCAGATCTTCCAGTGATTTCAAGAGGCAAAAATCTAAGCACAGCTCAAACTTGTCTATGTTTCAAGTGGAACATACAATTTATGTATAAGACCAGCTTTTGATTCACTGCAATTTTTATAGATTTAAAATATTTGCTAGTGGTATAACATTCTATGGGGAAAGTGTTAAATATACACAGTAAAAGCAGGGTCCTCTGTGGCTGAGGGTGCAAGAATTAAACTCTGCAAAGCTTTCTTTATGAAACTTAGTCACTCAAAACTTTCGAAATAAACATGAAACTCCACCAGATTCTCTGAAAGTTTTGCAAATCTTCTGTCAACCACTGAATAAGTTCAGTTTAGGCCTCTAATGAACTGTGGTTTGGGTGGAAACCATGAAAAACCTCAGTGGCTTCAGTGGTGTTTAACTCTTGAGGTAGTACATATACCACATATAAAACTATACAATATACACAGAGACACATATCTGTGTGCAACTATCACAAAAATAAAAATATGGCAAAGTATGCATTTTTAACCAAAGTCAGTAAATAAGACCATATGAATTCACTTAGTTTGTTGCCAAAGGACCACGATTGCTTAAAACCAGATCATGCTTATGCAATAGTATTCTTGAGAATCCTTCTCACAGCGTTTTATTCACTTAGAGCCACTAATCTTATTTTGGCTTGAGCACCTGTCAAAAAAGTGGTTAACATTTATAACAAATGTTAGGTGTAGAGGATACAAATTTTGCACAACCACAATCTAGCATATGTTACATAAATGTGTTGCACTTTTTTGGGGGTAAACAGAATATATCTCGAGTAAATAATTTCTAGCACTTTTATGAATCTGACCCATACTGTCAGTAGTTTTAAGCCATAGATATGTGTGTGTGTGTATTTAACATTACATTTCCATATCAGCAGTTACAAATGTAGTTCTATTTGTTTTAAAGTAAAAATTATTTTCCTTAAAAATCTTTTAAGAAATGTAAACAGTGCACATCATAACTTTTGTTTTCCTGTACTGTTTTAATACATTGAATGTGAGTGCAAATAGATGCACCCTTATATTTCTATTTTAATATATATTGTAATATTGTAAAGACATATAGTGAAATATATTTAACAATAAATTTATGTAAGATCCTCTGGTGATTTACTTTCAGGGATTATTCTAAATGCAAATACAATTTAACTGAAATATTTTTAAAGTTTTTTTTAATATTTTAGAAAATAAGGCAAGTGCATTTCTGAAAAAGGTTCTACACTTCTGGGGTACACACAATTTCTAGATAAATGTGTGACAACTACGGAAAGTATGTCAATAATAAAAACATTAAAAATATCTGTAATTTCATATAGACTGAAAAGGTATCAAAAGACAAAGTTACCAACATTAAATTAAATATGTTTAGACTTCATAAATACAAACACTTGTATTTACATAAATTATGTTCTAAACTAATTTTTTATTTGAAAGGAGCTTTTCTTTCTAGCAGATATGACCAATAAATTATATAAATGCTTCATATGTGAATTAAGGACTGCATAGTAAAATGGAAATATCAGAAAATGTTACTCTTTTGGATTTACTTTTTGCTAGTATATGATGTTTAACAAACTATAACCAACAACTTCAGAGCCATTCAAAAATACAATACTAGGAAATGAAAAACACTGTAGTTGCAATAATAAGAGCTATCATACAAAGGATCTATGGTGGATTGTTATATTCAATTGACATGTATTGTAATGAGTACTTGGAAAGTCTTTTGCTTTTTAAATACTAGCAAATTACTTACCTTACATTTGAATTTCAAGACATTGTTTCACAGATCAGAATATACAGCTATTATACACTTTTTTTTTTTTTTTTTTTTTTTTTTTTTTTTTTTTACACATTTGGGCTTTATACATGTAACACATTTGTACAACTGTAAATTTCATACTTCAAATTAAAAAGTTAGACTTCTCAGTACAAATTCAATGATCAATTTACACAAAAGAATATAATCCTTGGTGCCTCTAAATAAAACAGTGGGAAATATAATTCTGTTTTATATTTTTTCTGAAGTACACACATTACTTTAGTGTGCCTTTAGAAAAAAAGTAGATACAGTAGTATTACTTAACAGCATACATTTCTCTAAATTTGAGATACATTCTTATATTAAGAAATGTAATAATGGACAAAAGTACTGCTGATTGAGAGAGTGAACATGCTCAGTGCCTTGTCTTGTAATGAATTCAAAACTGTAGGAAGTTAGCCAAAATCAGTCAGATAATCTCTGAAGGCTCTTACCTAGCAAAGAAAAGAAGAGAAGAGAAGAGAAAAGAAGAGAAGGATTACTGTACAAAGAGTTTTGGCCAAAGCAGTAGTGCAAAGTTATACTGCCCCCAAGTAAGACTGATCTTCTTTGTGACCCAAGAGCTGACAAATGGAAAATAGAATGTCATCCAGCTTTCCATATACTGCTGAGAGTAGATAAATATCTGGCCAGTATTCTCCAAAAACAATTATTTCCAAGTAATACAATGCAATCTGTGGCAAAATATATAATTTTTAGAGTGAGCTTCTACTTTCTTATATCATTACCAGGTTTCTAAAAATGTAGCTGAGCAATGAATGGGTAGTTTACTGGGGCCAGGTACAGACATTCAAAATGCCTGAGGAGGAATCGATCTAACCCACATGGGTTTCTCTAAGTGGCTTAGGTTAGATTGGCAGTGAACAGAACACATGCTTGCCCTTTGGTGGGGGGGCATGCAGGTTACCTGCATTGGCTGAGGTTGGCAGGTTGGGGGCACTCCTGCACACCACCTGTGGGGTCTCCAAGATGCTGGAGACTGCTGAGGGCAGCTGAGTGCCCAAGCCACTCCTGACTAACTGCCAGGGTGAACACAACCCCCAACCCCCTACCCCCATCCCACCTCCCCACTGCCCTAGTACTCTGGGGCCCTGTAGCTGTAGGCCAAAAAGCCTTACTGCACCTTAGGTGCCCATAGCCTGGGTACCTGCAAGCAGTGGCAATGTTCTGTCCCTTGCCACCCCAACAAAGGTGATCCGCCTGCACCGGCTCCCGCTGAATTGGGGATCCATGGCAGAGGGCCCGGCTCTGGGCACTGTGCTGTGGCTCTGGCCACTGAGATGTGGTGCGCAGGAGCCAGGTTTGGGCTTTGTGGGGCTGTGCCTGAGCACAGGGGCATGGGGTTCCTTGGCTGGGTGTGCAGCCAGGGTCAGGCTCCATGGGGCTGTGCCTGAGTGCAGGGACTCTCCTAGGCTCAGTGTCAGGTTTGTATGTACATCATGGGGTGCTTCATGATAGGGCCATGGCCCAAGGACACAGTTACCCAGGTCCTGGGGCTCATCAGGGGACACAAAGCCTCCCTTACCTGCCCCACCTTGCCTGTCTGTGGTTGACAGATGGCTGGAGGGTCTGTGCTGGTTCGGCTGTGAGAGAGCTTAGAGACAGGGCCTGCTGGGCACTTCAGCCAAGAATGGGCTGAAAGCTAGCATGCCTGCCTGTGAGACTGGGTGTGGGGGCTGCAATGGAGCCTGGGATGCTGGAGGGCAGCGATCTAACTTAAATCAATTGGGGATCTGGTACAGAAGTTTGATTCAGTGGTCTAACCCAAATCAATTAGATTTGAGTGCACATGTAACCAAGTCTATCTTAAATGGGGTTTCACCATTTTTAGACCAGTCTTTGTATGTCAAACTTCTTTATGGTAACAGGTTTAGATCGATTCCTGATAACTTAGACCAATTTATGTGTAATATCTGTACCTGGCCTGGGACTCCTGCATGCCTCTCCATTCCTATAAACAATACACCTTGAATCCAAAATACAGCTGAAGGTTATGAAATGAACCTCCAAAAAGATTCAGATTCAGGATAAGAGAGAGGGAATTGTCTTAAATTTTCCCATTAACTGGAAGAACAGAATCAGCTGTTAAGCTGACTGCTCGCCTCTGGTCACACAGTACAAGGGCTTGTATATAGAAAAGAATGGGAGGAGCGTCTCTTGAAGTTCAGGATGTCTATAATCATTGTGTTCCCTGCTGCATAGTGCCAAAGGGCGAAAAATATTTTTATCTGCTTGGTCTCCAGCACTAAGATACAATGTTAAAGATCCTACTGTGTTTTACCTGAGAAACAGAGGAAAAACTTAGAAAAAGGCAGTTCAGAAGAACTTCATAATGTAGCTTGTCTCTAAAAAGCTAAACCAAAGCAAAGGCATTTTTAGATTAATTAAATAGGATAATTAAGTCTTTTCCTCAAAAATACCTGTATAAAGTATATATACGTGCATAATTAGAAAATACCTCTTTAAATATATTTAAAAACATATTCTGCAATTGATATGCTTTAACTTTGGTACAATCCTATGCTTTATATTTTAGCAGTGATAAGTAGCTACATTTCATCAAACCACTGAAACTGTAGATTTTTGATAAGTTCTGCTGTAACCAAAATAGCTGAATTCATCAGGCTTTAACTTGAGATAAGATTCTAAGAAACTTGATTGGGGCTATACAGTGTTTTCACACTCTTACAAAAAAGGTCTTTTATGATGTGTGCAATATCAGCTCATATCTGAATTCATTAATATGCAAATTTGTTCATTTTTTTCCTTTCATGTCCAAATCAGAACTGCAAATGGAATCATACCTCCCTTCCATGACCTGATCTTGTTCACTGCTATATTTTTTCAGCAAGTTTATATGTTCTCATCTAACTCTATATAGAACATTTCCTAGAAGTCCCAGTTCCCTTCAAAGAGCTGCAAGCATAACAAGTAACATCAGATAATATAATATAGAACCTATGGTTTAACGTTGCTTACAAATCTTGATTATTGTGGTACTTAAATACAGTAGGTCGATTTTTTACAATAGTTTTGAAAATGCATATTTATTCATTTCCTAGTTTATCCTCCATTGGACTTCATTTAAATTTCATTTCTGATCATTGATGTTTTTCATGTTAACTCTTTTGAAAATGTCTGTATTTTAATGTAAATAAAACATTTCTCCATTTCTTTGGCATCAGAGGAATCACACAGCTGTGATGGTTCCATTGTGGCGAGAACGTGACCGTTCCAAAGTTACTCGTCTGTTATCTGGAATACAAAGAGAGAAAAAATAAAACATCATCTGATTTGAAACATGGATACTGCAATGTCAAGAGGTTTTGAAATAGTCCTAAAAATCACTTCAAATGAATATGTAAATAAGTAACTAGGATACTGGATCAGAGACGTTTCACACTGCAGCTGCCAGGCTGAGTTCAAGAGTTCTGCAATCAGCAATAAATTACTTTCTTGATCAGAAAAGCAGGGGTGATAAAAGCATCGGAAGAATTCTGAAGCACAGTCCCCTTGGAAATACCAGATGACAACTAAAATGTTAGGTAAAAATGTTGTTCTATAAAGTTTCTACATACTGTAGTTTTGAAGGAAGGCACTTCCAATTTCCTCTGAGTGTTCAATACGAATGTGAAAATGCACCTCCTAAACATGACATACTAAAAGTCTACGAGTTGCAAGTCTGCTCACTATAAATGTGTACTCATCATTATATAAATAGAAGAGTAAAATCAGCCACTTCCTAAGCATTTCCTGATTGGATGATGTTAACAACTTTCAGTATGAAATATTACACAGTAATTACTGCAATGAATAATGAATATCTTCCCATCACAGGAAGAAACAATCATGCACTAAAGCCAAATAATTTCAAAGTAAAGTTTTAAAAAGCAAGGAATGTTACAGGAAAAAAAGTATTTAAAAAACAGAAATAGATTTGTTCCGGTGGTCCTTAAGACCACTACTGTCTCACTTCTCCCTTACACTCTCTCTGGACTATGTCATTTGGCTAGTGGGTCCAGAAATTTGGTGATAGGTGGTGTCAGCATTAAATAACATGGCTCTTGGAGCCATGGCAAATCATGTTGCTCCCACTCATCCTGCTGCCAAATTTTGGACATGTGGGGATTTCTGAAGGCCAGTTCTGGAGAACAGAACAACAGCACAGGGCTGGGAATTTGGTAGCAGGGGAAGTGGTGGCTACCACAGCTCCAGGAATCACAGGAACCACAATTAATTTTGCTGTCACCAATTTCCAACCTTGTGCACCAGATGACGCAGCTGAATATTCTGGAATCAGTCCATGAATTGGACTCAATGCACTCATCCAGTCTGCAGGGCTGAATGAGTTAGACACCACTGTCCTAAGACTAAGGAATAAGCTGACTGCATATAGAAAGGGTGTTGTAGAGACAGAAAAAATATAATGTTTAGCTAATCATTCTGTATACTTCTACTGATAAAGCAAAGACAGCTAAGGCCTGTCTGGGTGTGCACCAGTTTTGCCACAAAACCAATCTTTCAATCAAATCTTCCTTTCCGAAATCCAAAGAAAAAAATTCTCCCATAAGTACTCTGTGGGGTGCTATTTCCATGGTATTTGTTGGTGCTTTTGTAGTCTTGCCCCAAGGTGCCGCCTAATCTTGATGAATCCATGGTTAGGGTTACCAATTTAAGTTGCTCCTTACAGACTGAATCTCTCAAGGAAGGAGCATTAACCTCAACAACAATTACAGGGTCAGTAGATATTAGAAATTAAAATTCAAAGTATATTTGTATTTGCAATACAGCAAGGGGAGTACTGCCACCCAAATGTGTTGTGGGTTTGCTACAAGAGCGAGCAAAAATCATCTAGCAGTTGAACATATCAATGGAAAATCACCAGTAGCGCTATTTATCTAATATATTTTTAGTATTACTAATTCAACATGCTCCAAAAAAAATCATGAGATTTAAAACCATAGCAAGTGCCACTTTTATTATAATTACGCATCTCCATAAGCCCGAGTCACACTAAAATTGCAAAAGTTGGGAATAGTAGAATTTCCTTCCTAAATTGAAGACAATCTGAATTTAATTTAATTTCTCATTATTAACGGCGTCTTGAATTGGCTTAGTAAATTATTTGCAATTTGTTAGAGAAAAGGCTTATGTTTTCTAGGGATAGGGAAAAGAAAACATGAGAACATAAATTCAATACTGACATTGGGGAGTGGACTGACATTCTGGACAATGAGAAAAGACAGGGAACAAGGTTTTAGTTATCATCACTGGGATATATCATCAGCATTTGCAAGAGATTTTTCTGCAAAGCTCAGAGAGCTTTCTAGTGTCTCTTAGCAAGACCACAGGGAACAGGAAGTCAATTGCACTTTGATAAAATCATCATGCCACAGTAAAAATAGGGATGGAGGAGACAATTTATCTGTTATTTAAAATAAGTTAACACTTTCATATTGCTAGAATATGCATGGGCTAATTGTTTTTCTTTAAAAAACAAAACACTAACCAATCATTCAGTATGTATGTACAACATTTCCTTTGATGTTAAAAAGAAACATTTTAGTAAGAATAGATCAGTAGATCTCAACTTTTTTAGACTCAAAGCATCTTTCAGAAAATACCAGTTTTTAGATTTCACTCGTGTTTTGACTACAGATAAATAATAGAGCAATTGTGAAGAACTCAGAAACACTATAACAGATCAGAATGTTTTTGACACTATGGATTTCAATTTGAAATCTCTGTGTTAACATATGAATCATGTGTAGGTGTCTGTACACCTAACAGTGCTATTATTGTGCGACACCCCTAAAAGGATGACATGGCACCCTGATTGAGAATCATTGAAATAAGCAATAAAATGTGGCGTACTTTAACAGCATGCAATTTTTGAATGGCCACATCTCAGTCAAATCATACCTATTCTCCCATTCTAGTACTATCCAATAATTTAAACATTTTAATATAATAAAAAAAAGGTAGACAAACTATACCAAGAAAATTTTAGGATGAAAGATGAATGACAGTGGAGCGTGGAGGGGAAAAATGGAGAAGTGACTGAAAATGCAAGCCATTTTACTTCCCCAATGACACCAATACATTAGAAATGCAACACATCAGGGCACTGACACTCCCTTGATGACTGATTTGTATTGTCCTTAGATCAAGATACAATGGGAACAATAGATAACATTCACTGTCAGAAAACAAATATAATGTAATTCTGAAAACAGACCTATCTAGAAACATTTTAATTTGTTTTAGTAGTGTTGGAGTTTTGTTTTAGCAGTGATAGTCCAAAAAACATCCCAGAGGCAAGGCTTTTTGTGATATTTTTTCATTGGACAAACTGTATAATTGAGAGAGAGCTGCTAGACAAGCTTTTGGGAATCAGGTGACTGAAGGAAGGCGTTCCCGATGCCCAAAAGCTTGTTAAGCAGCTAACCTAACTATACAGTTGGTTCAATAAAATATATCACAAAAAGGCTTAGCAATCTGTTTTAGTAATTTCTGTTTAGACAAAAATAGTAAGCAGGAGAAAGGAATAATTTTGCTTTTCTGTACATAGGCATGATAAGGACAATATCAATGCAAAGATCTCTGTCACGGCGGGGTCCTGCAGGAGGACCGTGATCTCCTTACGGCCCCCTCACCGTGCCAAGTCGGCCCAAGGGCACCCTCAAATTCTCGCCCACCATGTCTTTGATGTTTATGTATAGTTGGGAGGCTGCCTATGACTCCCTGGGCACAGTTAGCTGGGACCTTGGTCCCCGTGTGTTCCTGGACCCCCTGGGGGTCCCCCGGTATGATGGGTGCTCCCCAGACACCCTAGCCTTATGGGCTATGCGTGGCTCCTACCAACCCCTAATACCATGCCCCAAGCCTCGCTGATGGGATAGACGCTGGTATGTCTCTTTACCTATATACTGCCCGTCTCTCGGGCCTCCTCTATGTACTCTCGCCCTCTCTTGGGCTCTCCGAGCCCACTTGGGGTCTCCCTGTAATGTTGCCCCTCTCTGGGGCCTTCTCTATAGTGTTGCCCCCTGTCTGGGGCCTTTACAATAGTGCCCCCTCCTGGGGCTTTCCCTGCGATGTCGCCCGAACTCGGGCTCCTAAAATACAGCCCCCAGTCTGGGGCTCTCTTTAGTTGCCCCAGCAACCTGCAGCTGTGCTCGTTATGTTCTGCCAGGGCTCTCTCTCCCTGGCAGTTTCTACTCCCTAGGAGCAGAGCACTGAGGTGCCCTGCGACACACCTCCCCCCTTAAGATCGGACTCACCGAGGCAGATCTTCACTCTCTTCCGGTGTTGCTCCAATCTGGGGTTCTCCTCGGCCTTTCTTCCCGCACCCGGCATTCCCCATACAACTGGCGGAGGTTTTAAGGCGCCTCCTCCTCGCCTTTTTCCCAGGGCTCACCGTGTGGGATTTCTCGGGAGTTACCTCGCCACAGGTAGTGTCCCCCCACACTAGCCATCCCTGGTAGGGTGCTACTCAGGCCTCTCTCTCGTTCTCTTTCACTGCCTTTACCCCGTGGAGCCAAAGCCCCTTTTCCTCCATCTGTGTCCCAGGTCTTCTCTTTTTTGTGTTTTATTCCATACCTCCCTCCTTTCCTGGGTTTCCTGCCAATCCTGGAGTTTTCCCCAAAGCTCCCACTGTTTTCTCAAAGCCTTCTGTGCATACTTCTCTCCCCAAAACTCTATCTTCCCTCGGTTGGTGGTTCCTCCTTTAGTCCCTTTGTAGATCTTCACGTAGGCTACCCCACCAATTCTTGCATCTACAAGCTTCCTTAAAGTCCACCACTGGACTTGTCCTGGGAGGTTGCTAACATACACGTATGGGCGTCTTCCTCCCTGTTGTTCTTTCTCTACCCGAATTACCCTGGTTGTTGATAGATCTTTTACTTCTTTAGTGTGGCCTACAGTCTGGATTTGACTCAATCCCTGCTTCTGTTCAGGGCCGGACATTTTATTCTTAGGGTGGAGCTTGAGATATCTTTCTCCTCCCCCCTTAGCTTCCTTGGGGTTCCGGTCTCTCTGGTCCTCTTCAGGCCTCTGGGCCACTCTTTTATGTCACCGTTTTGCTGCTCCCTCTCCATTGGAAACTGCACCTTGCTTTGATACTGTCAATCTCCTAACATCACACAAGCCTACACCTTTACCTAGTTTTTCCTTCAGGCAGTTCATTTCTTGAGCGTACTGGCTCGCCCACTGACCCCATCTTTGATTCAGGCACTCCCTAACTATGGAGGTGATCT